TCTCAAGAAAACGGTCAAGAAAAAATTGCCATTATTTCGTGTGTGTGTCCAAGGAATTTTGACATTTTTGATAGCTCACAGCCTGTTGCCTCACTCTTTCCTCAAGAAATAATGGAACGGGCATATATTTCTGTTGCAAGCCTGGGTTGCCTTGTGCTCTTTTTTCACAAAAAACTTTGGAAAACCGTAGTAGAAAGCGTAGTAAATTTCTTAAGAGCTGCGTACTGCCTTAAGGAAATTTGACTCAAGAAAATTTCTTAGCCATTTCTTGTACGTCATTTTATATGGAGTTTTTGCTTTTCTTGAGAGCTGCATACAGGCCTTAAGCGGGGAGGTACTTAAGCGGGTTTCACTGTTTGTACTTCTGGTTTTTCATTTCTCTTCTCGCGACAAAAAACTTTAGGCTGTCCATGACATAATTTTGTCGTTAACCAAACGGAACTTTCATGAAATAAACTAAACTGTGGTTTAACGAGTTTTTTCTGGACGCTAAGACACAAGGCGTGGTCATTATTTTCATGGAAATGTTGCCTGGTGACAGACACATTTAAATAACTACTAATTTTTCGTCAATTCATGCGGTCACTACTACCTAGCCTTCGGGACTTAAAGACGTTGAGTCAACTGGCTCCCAAGCTAATCTGTCCGCAAAATATTTCCCTCTATATCATTGTGACCTGGGACGAAGAAGCAGCAATGCATTTACATTCTCAATGAACTCAAGTACTGTCGCTAAGGATAAATTTTCCCTCATTACAGTAGTTTCTACGGGAATTAATATCTGCAAACAGACTAAATGGCAAGACCTCCTGGCGGTAAATTACCTTGAACTTCCCCTCAGGTGCAGATAATTTTATCCGGAGGCAGTGCCTTTTTGGAACCACTGCCTGCGCATGTGTGTTTTATTGTGCAATTCTTTTCGAAAACAACTGCATTGTTTATTTCATTTCTGGGAGCTGGGTCCCTAGCGTTTCCATGTTCCTGGACGGCAAGACTTTTCCTCTGCCGAAATAGTCTCTTGCGAAGTTCAATGGCTGACTCTTCTTAAAATCTTCGTGCATTTTCCCAAACACTCCAGCAGAAAAGTAATATTTCCAACTACTGTTGCTGTAAAGGGTAAAAACTCGTCGGTTCTATTCTAACTATCCACGCAAGTTTTAATATTTTCCTAATTTATACATATGTACATAAGCATGATAAAAACATAACAAGGTAAAACCATTGAGAGGCAGTTTGACAGACACATTCTCATTTTCAATCTCAAACAACAACAATTGTGGACAATTTCATTTTTTGATTTTCAATTTTATATGATTTTCGAATGTTTGCAAACGTCTGAAAAAAAATTAGGGCCGACGAATCGAAAGAAGGAATTTACCTTGTAATGTTTTTATCATGTACACACATAGCTTTTTATTAACTCTTTACACTTTTTGAAATTTTCCTTACGCTTAAATTTTGTTCTAGTGTGCGCTATCGATCTCCATACAGTATTCGCTCAAATAGACTCACTTGGCCACATTCAGTTAATAAAGCAATCGAACACCAAGAACAACAACAACACCTACGCGACCGTGCATCGATTGCAGAAATAACAAAACTACCTGAAACCATCAACAACAACAACAACGCAAGAATGGCTGAAGTTGAAGTAGAGCAAATTGTTGAAGTCACAGACGAAGTAGCTAAGGATGAAGAGGTGGACGAAGTCGAGGACCAGCCACGAAGGGTAAGAGGAGATAGCGATGTTGTTGACTTTGAACTCGAAGTAGTGGATGAAGTAGATGGGGTAGATGAAACGGTTGAAGAAACCGAGGAAGATGATGTGGAGGCTGCGGAAGAAGAAGAAGAAGAAGAGGAAGAAGAAGAAGAAGAAGAAGAAGAAGAAGAAGAAGAGGAAGAAGAAGAAGAAGAAGGAGGAGAAGAAGAAGAAGAGGAAGAAGAAGAAGAAAAAGAAGAAGAAGAGGAGGGAGAGGAGGAAGAAGAGAAAGAAGAAGAGGAGGAGGGAGAAGAGGAGGGAGAAGAGGAGGGAGAAGAACTTGAAGAAGAGGAAGAGGAGTTAGAAGAAGAAGAGGATTTAGAAGAAGAAGAAGAAGAAGAAGAAGAAGCTGTAGAAGAAGAAGTTGAAGAAGAGGAGGAAGCCGTAGAGGAAGAAGAAGAACCTGAAGCAGAGGAAGAGGAAGAAGCTGTAGAAGAAGAAGAAGAAGAAGTTGAAGCAGAGGAAGAAGAAGAACTTGAAGGAGGGGAAGAGGAGTTAGAAGAGGAAGAAGCTGTAGAAGAAGAAGCAGAAGAAGTGGAGGAAGAAGCTGAGGAAGAAGAACAAGAAGAAGAAGAAGGGGAGGAGGGAGATGGAGAAGATGAAGAAGATGAAGAAGAAGAAGAAGAACCTGAAGAAGAAAATGAAGAACTTGAAGAAGAGCTCGAGGTAGCCGCTGAGGAAGAAGAAGCCGAAGATCCTGGCGTAGAAGAAGAAGAAGAAGCAAACCTTGATGAAAAAGAATTGGAAGAAGAAACTGCTGAAGAAGCGGACCCAGCAGAAGAATCTGAAGAAGATTCAGAAGAACCTGCTGAGGGAGAAACAGAAGAAGAAGCTTCTGAAGAACCGGATCCAGCAGAAGAGCCTGAAGAAGAGGAAGAACATGAAGCCGATGAAGAAGAAGCTGAAGAAGGGGTTGAAGACCCTGCTGAAGAAGAACTG